CCAACCTCTTGCATGAAAGGATTTGCATTCAGTTTGAACAAGTAAATAAAAAAACATTAAAAATGGAAAAGTAGTAGGATTGAATTGGAAAAAAGTAAATAAACAAGACGGTACTTCAAAACTCGTGTGAGAAGAAATCCTACACCACTGCATAAAAGATAAAAGGCTTCATGGTGGTGCTTATGAAGGATAAAGCCTTCATTGTGCTATGTGGGATTAGATCTGAATGTTTTTGTGGGATAATAATCATGCAGTTGTGTAGGATTTCTTCTCACACCAGTTTGCAAGTACCCTCTCGTTTATTAACTTTTTTCCAATTCAATCCAACTACTTTTCCATTTTTAATGTTTTTTTAATTACTTGCTTCCACTCTTTTTTCTTAAAATTAATAAAAATTACTGTTATGATTCTGTGGTTAGGTTAATTATATTCATAATGATCACGTGCGCATAAATTAAAATGGCATCAAACCACAAACCCACGCGGTGCCTCCAGCTGGATTTTGTCTTTCATTTTGTCCTGTCATTGCTTCTTTTTCTAACTACATTTGTGGTTCTTGACCCAAGCACAAAGGAATGATGTAAAAGCCAACTTGAGCGGTTCTCTGGTTCAAAAGATTTCCATGGAGATAGAAGAAAGTTTAAAGAAGAAAAAGTCTGAAGAATTTTGCAGAATTTTGAATTTGGGCCTGTTCTTCAGAAATGTTCCCGCTACACTACAGTCCACTTTAAGGGTATCAGAAGAATCGCTCAGTGAAGGAGAGCTCATCTAAGCCATTTATAAGGCTGTAAAACGTAAGATGAAAGAGATATAAGTATCTGAAAATCGTAAATTTGGCCGCAATCTTGAAAAACCAACCTCAATCATACATATAGGCTACCGCCTATATAATAAGTCGTTCAGCTCCAGAAGACTTGACACTTGCTTGTAATTTGTGTCTCCTCCCAAAATTTTAAGTAGCTTCAGCAGATTCTGCTAATCTTACAAGGAAGTGTAACCTACAAATGAAGTTTATTCATACTAGTTAACTGCTCCCTTTCAGAATCACTTACATTACACCAGTTAGCCATTACCTCGGGTAATATGTCTACACTGTAGTATGCCTAAAGTTCTTTAAAAAGCTTCTCAGCTGCATGGCAGTCTGACATGGTGTTTTTTAATTTTAAAACAATTTTTGATGAAAATTTATCATGACCAGTTTGTTAATCAACCATGTCTCAATCGTCTAAAATGACTTTCAATGTTTCTAATGTATTTTGGGCTGATCCAGAAAATACAAGGCAAAACCAAAGATATATGGGCCATCCTTACTAGCATTATCAAAAGTAGCGAAGTCTTTGACATATTTAGTGGTACCATCAGTTTGAATTGTAATATTTTGCGTTTCATCACAGGGGCAAATGGAGCAGAATAAAAAGTGGAGTAAAAAATGGTATTGAGGGCATGCGAAACGCACCAAAATTTTGACCACGCCCCCTTTTACTTTGCAGAAATATGCCTTTTTCCACGTAATTCACATTATACACCAGATATTGTTCACACAAAATTTTTTTATTTTATAGAAGACTAATAATTATTCAGAAAAAATGCATGGTACAGCCATTCTTTTTGAATGTTAGCTTGTAAAATCTACCACAAGTTTGTCATAGTCCAAGTCGTTTACTATCTCCCTGTGGACTTTGATATGGGCAAGTGATGTAACCCTTTCCTGTCATCGTAGAGCGTAGATGTTTTTAGTAGCTTGAGTTGACTATTCTTTTGTTTTTATGAGTAGTTACAGGTAAGGTACAAGCACGAGTCCATTATATTGAGAGTGTCGAACTGCCCTGTGGTCCTAGTGATGTCACCACGTAGAAGCCTCAAGTAGCGCTTCCTCTGATGTTCAGAAGACTTGAGTTGCAGGCTAGGAACAAAAAATGGGAATGAGTTAATCGAGGTAAGGGGCATGTCATTCAAATAACTGGACTGTGCCCTTTGTACTTCATTTCTTAAAAAAGTCCAGGAAAAGCTGCTACAGCAACAAAATCCCGATGATAAGAGACTTGGTAGAGCAGGAGCAAGTGCTAATTCAACAGGCACACCAACTGGATGTGGGAGAAAAGTTCTAGAGGCTCCTATTAACCACTAGCGACTTTGCAGATATCTAAGACTAAAATGCTCAATAAAAAAAGGACAGATATAATTGCAGACAATCACAACATATTCATTTCTCTTGACAAGTATCTAGCTCTAGATGTCAGTCCAAGGGGATGGTGGTAATAGACCTTTTACCTAGTTATAACCAGACACTGTTGGTCACCATCTGTGCTACATTTCACAACTAGAAACCCTTTTAGGTCAATGTCAAGATAGGAGTATAAGAGATCAGTGTCTATAGTACCTTGGAGGCTTTCTCGACAAGTGTGTCTGGTGCGTGCTACACTCGAGATAGTCTCAAGGCTAAAATAGAACTGGCGGCCTTTTTATTAATAAAAGTGGCTGAGTACATGCCCTATGGCCCTAGCATGGGAATGAGTCAGGCAAGTATAAATTATATTCCTGCCACCTATGGAGTGCGCAGAAAAGCCAAAGATAAACAAGAAACATCTACGCTGTGATATTACTAGCACTATAGGGCAGTTCGACACTCTCTAAATATAATGGACTCTTGGTACAAGCAATGTGTAAAAGTGTAAATAAGTTTGGAAAGTCATCCACATCTGAGCACTGAATTGCTTTTTGAAGTGTGGTTGGCCTGTCATTTACAAGAACTGAAGAGTGCTTTCCAGCGGTGATATTCAGTTAAAGTAGCTGAAGAGAAAGCAAATCAGATTTGTACAACTCTCCAACTTCTTTTATTGAAACATCAGGGTTATTGGCTGCAATGGATGGTATAATCCCTAGTAGTTTAACTTTATTTCATTCAGTAGATCTGTATCTTTTTGTTACCTCTGAGGTGATGTGATCAAGAAATGGAACAAAAACGTTTTATCTATAGAATACCTCTGGGAAATCTGCTGGTATATTACTTCAATGAGCTTGCCTACCAGCTATCCGTGGAGTGTTAACAGTTATGCATAACTTCTCAGCAAGAACTGTAATGTCTGTGCACCAATGATGAAATTCCTCCTCTCAGTTCGTTTTCAAAACTTCAAAATAGGACATTACTTCCCCAACTTCTTTGTAAGCAGCAACAATGTCTTGCAATTTCATTTGAAGCTTTATAGTTAATGATCTAAGAGAGCTCAAAACTGTCATTGTTACAAAGAATTCAAAGCTTTGCAATTGACGAAGGAACCCCCTAGCTTTTGTCAATGTCTCAGTATCCCACAATCATTCAAAATTTCCTCCTGCAAAGCTTATAGCTTTCATTGCTATAATTATAAAAAAGGTACAGATAATCGAACACAGTATCAGAATCAATTCGCTGAACGTAAGTAGTTCTGCACCAATCTTTAAGCTCTTTCTTATTCACCTATGGTGATTCAGTTTGAAGGTGTACAGCAGTTTTCTTGGGTGACAGTTACAGATGAGTTATGCAAGAATGTGCCAACACTAATGACAATTATATCTCAATTGACCTTTGGAGATAAGCGACTAGCATGCATGATAGTATCTATGATATTGAAGAAGTGGCTTCCAAAAAAATGTTTCGTCCAGAGAGCCATGTCACTGTTGCTATATGGAAATGGAACTAACATTTAAATATAGGATACACATAAATGTGGTGGTTTATGGTTGAATACGGTTAGGTATACAACTGTTTGCAACTGCTCGTGATTTTTTTGTCTCACGTTGGCACTATTTAGTTGGTAGACCAGTTATCAATGGAACGTGATTTGAAAGTCCTGCTTTGGTACAATAATTTAGTTCCCCACTTGAAGGTATGTTTTTTGTTGAATAATGTCAAAAAATCTCTAAAGTTTCAGAGTGAAAACATACCAATGATAAAGAAATTTGCTACAAGTGTGATTGATGTTACTCAAGTTAACAGTAGAGACATTACAGTTGAAGAAGAGAATGAAGATGAGTTTCCGTTAGAATCACTGACTGAAGAATTGATTGGTAAAAATCTAGTATTATTTTTAATTGTAAAGATAATTTTTATGCAGTTGATCTAGCATGCAGTGAAGCTGAAGATGGCTGTGGTGATGAAAGAGATGATGATGAACCCTTGGTAATTGTATTTAATATAAAGTTAACTGTTCCTTTCACAACATTTACAGATGTTTCTAGTAAATCTTGTAATTGTACTTTGCCTATTGAAGAAATTAGCCTTTTCAGTAGCAATGAACCATCAATTGATGACTCAACAAAGACTTTGGTAGTCGCAGATAGTCATATATCTATATGTCAGGGTTTCAAAATTGTCAGAGACAATACTGATGAAAACTTATGACCATCATATTACAGAATACATTCACAAACTATCAGCTTCCATTTCTTTCATTCACTTGCTGAACCAGATTGACTAGCTCACAGTGGCATGTCCAACATCTCCAATGTTGGAACAGTTTATGTTGGCAAACTATTGCCATCACAGTATCCATTACAAAGCAATATTTTTTAGTTTTTATTTCGAGGTATGTAGCTGGTTATGTTTCTTTCAGATCCAAAATCATCTATGGAAGACTTGTAAAGAAAATGACAGAATTTGCCCATGATAGAAACAGTGTTTTGTGGCACATTCCACACAGAAGACATGCAGAAATGTCAATAAAATCGGAACTGGTAAAAAAATATTATTTAATTGGCATATGAATGAGTGATGTATCACTAGGCGCCACTGGGTGTGATTCTTTGTAATGAAAATAAGGTTCATAAATAATGGATAAACACCTCCTATGAGGCGTTTATGGAATTTGGAAACCGAGGGCGAAGCCCGAGGTTTACAAATTCCATAAACGCCTCATAGGAGGTGTTTATCTGTTTTAAACATATTCATGCAGATGTGGGTAAGGCACGTGGTTAATTAGTAACGTGTACTGTAAATCAATAAGATGAAGCGAGAATAGAAAGAGATGGCTACTGCCTCACAGGATATTCTGGAAGACGCCATTATGCTTAATGCCTTGCAGGATTACGAGGAGAGTATCAGCTATGAACAATCTGCAAAGCTGGAAGAAAGTGGCCATAAGGACAAAGTCGAGGATGAAGTACAGATTCAGAGGTTTGCCAGTCCTGTGACAGAGGAGGACATTCTTAAAAAAATTGAAGGAACAATCCCTATGACAACTAAGAAGACTACAGAATGGGCAAAACGATTGTGGGAAAAGTGGAATAGCCATCGTTCAGTAAGCTCGGCTGAGATTCCTCCGTCTCTTGAGGGTATAGACAATACGTCTCTAAATCACTGGTTGCCTAGGTGTGTCATGGAATCAAGGAAACAAGATGGGAATTATTACACAGGAGGCACTTTATACAGCTTTTGTGCTGGAGTCCAGAGTTATGTGCGAGAAGAGAGAATCAAAATGGGCATTCAAGAGCATTTGGATATTTTCAAAGAACCTGCATTTGAGTAATTTCGAAGAGCCTTTGATAGTACCTTGAAAGAGCTGCACAGAAAGGGTGTGGGCACCACTGTAAAGCAAGCAGAAGTTATCTCATTGGACTTGCAAGAGCGCTTATGGAATGAAGGTGCACTAGGAGATGGCAATCCTCAGCAACTTCTTGACACTCTTGTGTTCATGTTTGGCTTGCACTTTGCCCTACGTAGCGGAGCTGAACACCGTAGTCTTCGTCCTGACATGCTATCTCTGCATGAACCAGATCAAGCTACTTCCTACCTACTTTATACAGAGTGGTTCAAAGAACCATTCTGGTGGCTTAAAGGAAAGGAAATTAGAGAATAAATCAGTAAAGCTGTTTGCAAATGAGGTTGATGAAAGGAAATGTGCCGTTAGAATGTATAAGAAGTACATGGCTCTG